AACCCCCTAAGGGGGGGGCGGCCCCCCCTTAGTGGGACCCCCAAAAACCCCCCGGGGCTTTCGCCTTGGGTAATGGGAAACCCTGTTCGGGGGAAACCCGGGGGGTTCCCTCCCGGGTTTTTGGGGGTGGGGGGGTAAAGGTCAAAAGGTTTCGGGCAGCCCGGATTTGGGGTCCCCCCCCCCCCCCCCCCCCCCCTCTCCCTCTAACCCTGCCTCTTGCTCGTGCTGTTTCGTGGCTTCGCTTGCCTCGTAACGTGAATGACTTTTCCTTTTGTTCCTAGGACGACGGGGGTAGGAGTAACAGCGGCAGCATCGGGGGGGCGTCAAGGTTGGGCCCCGCCCAAGCAGTCCGGGTGTCTCGCCTCGACCCCCGCAAGCCGCATGACTTAGCCCGTCTGGCCCTCGCCGTCTACTTCAGGTAAGCCTGGTGCCTGGACCCTCCAAGAGATGAGGGTGTATTGCGGCAGAAATATTGTTGTGTGCCCGTAGCGTAGTGCACAGCATGGGTTTGGTTGGTTGGCCTGCCTGGTTCACGGTAGTGTTCGTATACATGTTGGGCGCAGCAGGAAGGGGTATTGTACTGTAATCGGGAAGTGTTGGCGGTGAACACCGTTGTGTCGTCTTGATGCACGAGGGGGTCGGCTGATCATACAACAGTAGCACTGGTTCCTTCGAAAAAAGAAAAAGAGCCTGTACCTCTCGTTGAGAACAACCCTCATCTATAAGGATTGCAGCGGACACTATGACGCAACCTATGAGTAAATCAGCCCAGCATCATGCATGCACGCAGCATTTAGGCCCGCCACGTGTTCCAAAAAAATTTTTACACTGCCTAGGCGAAAGAGGCAATGGCAGGAGCTGGATGCATGCTCACGAGTCCCCCCCCCCCCCCGCTGCTCCCGATGTTGTGTTGGCACCATGTGGAAACCTCTGGTTGGCGTTTGCAGGACGGTGCACGTGTTCCCGGCTCTAAGCAGGTCCTGGTGGTCAGATGATTGTGCCAGAGGTCTCCGGGTGTGGGTTGCGGACTTCACGAAGAGGTAAAGACCGGGTGCCTGATCAAGAGGTACATGTACTAGATGCATTGTGACTTCACGAAGAGGTATAGCCTAATCAAGTGGTACAAATGTACTCGGTGTGTTGTAACGGTCCATTGGAGGTACTTGAAACGGTCCATTAGAGGTACCCGCACGCCGTGTGAAGGTACAGTGCTCGTGTGATCCCATAGAGGTACTAGAATCACCTATTATATCAGAGGTACTCGCACCGCTCACTTGCGGGAATCGTAATGTCCAGACGAGGTACAGTACTGACGTATACCTGTGTTATCGTTAGGGAGTTCTTTAGGGAAGGGGGGGGGCTGGACGCTGGGGGCACGGATTGAGGGAAAATGAGATCAAGTCGCCGCTGTAGGACACTCTACATTGTCAGGAGTCTCAGGCAATGCATAGCATAGCATAGCATAGCAAGGTTAAGGTTAAGGTTGGCGCGGAAGGCGCTCCCCAGTAGACCGTGCTTCTTCTCCTTCGTGTTGCAGTTTTTGGCTGTTGTTGCTTTTTTGCATCACAGGGCTACCGCATCTTGTGTAGATACCTATTTCGAAGCGTGACTGACTGCTACAGCTGAGTCGTTGGCATTTCAGAACCGCTCTTGGGCGCGGTGTGCGTCCTGCGTCTCTCCCTCTCTTGTGTCTCTCCACGCTCTCTCTTCATTCTCCCTCTTTCCCTTGCACTTCTCTGTCTCTGTCTCTGTCTCTCTCTGTCTGTCTCTGTCTGTCTGTCTCTCTCTCTGTCTCTCTCTCTCTCTGTCTGTCTCTCTCTCTCTCTCTGCCCTTACTACTGTGCGTGTCCGTTGTCGGCGCCATGACGGAATACAGACACGTGAGCCCCGCACTCATCCAGATCGAGGCCCAGATCATCACCAGGGCCACCGACAAGGGGGTCTGGGATGACGGCGGGGAGATGAGTGTTAGGGCGAGTGCTAACTCGAGGCAGGCAAGTGCTGTTCAATAGAATAGTCTGGTTGTGTGCCGAATGTGTTGCCGGGATTCAAATCATTGTTGTTGTTGTAAGCTCTACCATGTAGGCTAGTAGCACAGCGCGTTCTTTTGACGCGTTCGTTACGTTTTGGACGTGTGCTCAAGTTGGGACCACCGGTGGAACGTTAACGTTTTCCCCGTTCCTTCCTGGCCTGTTTTTGCTCTCTTTTTTGCTCTTTTTCCCCCTCCTTTTCCCCTTATTTCTTCTTGTCTGCGTGCCGGCGATACAAAAGATTGAGAGACGAGTTATTTGGTCAGACCCTTCCTTCCATGGGGCAGATGACACCAGTCGGTTTACATCAAGTTCATATCAGAATCACCAGCAATGTGAAAAGAGGGAATCGTCCTCGACAGACGTTGGGGAGATTGTATCTTTATGAAGGTGGTCTCCACAGCAAGTTCATCTCAATTAAAAAAGAACCAGTCTCTCGTATGCTACTGCCACGGGCCACGGTAGTAAAAATGTATGGCACTGTCAACTCGAACCAATCAGGTGGTGGCCTCGTACCTGAAGGAGGAGTGTACACTGGAGGCCGTCATTCAGCTGCCGCCGGATTACCCGCTGAGGAATGTCGAGGTCACCTGCAGCAAGAGGATGGGGGTCTCCGAGAGCCGGTATGAATTGTGGTTATTGCTGCAGTGGGGGTTGGGTGCTGGTTGTACCGGCCTTTCTGGCTTACACAAATCGGGTGAGGAGCCTGTTATTGATAATCCGACCCAGAACAAAATCCCAGCGCCTACGTACATCCTCGAAACTTTGAGGAAAGCCCGGAAAGTCGCTCGCCTCACGGGTATACCTAAAATGTATGATACCTGCTTCCCTGTCTCTTTGCACCTCGTGTGTGTATTTTTTTTTGTGATGTTTTGCATGCGATATTTCTCATCCTCCATAGCTCCTCGAACTTCATTCGTCTTGTTCCTCATCACCATCGTCTCGTTCCTCATGACCATCGTTTCGCGTTGATTGGTGTATTTTGACCCCTGTCTCTCTTAGTAAAACAGTATGGGCCTTACCAAGGGTTGCTCCTCTTTATTTGAAAAAATACATATAGTCAAAGAGAATACCCTTTCGAGGTATGTAGTACCACAGCAGTCGAAGGGCATGGGTTGGAGTCTTAGTCTTTGCAGTCTCTGTGGTCGCATCTCTCGCCTCCCACCGAGTGACCAACCTCATCCTCAATCGCAAAATCCTATCATAGTTTCGAACGTCGTGTACACCTTGTCCACTTGCGCGTTCGAATGGGTCAATGTCGATGTCAATCACAGGTGGAGGCAGTGGGTTCTACAGATCGTGACGCTCCTCTCGCTTCAAGACGGCTCGGTGCTCGATGCGGTAATGATGTGGAAGAAGAACGTTGACAAGGTGATCGCTCATTTGTTTTTGCAGACGCGTTGCTGTTCCTGGTTGCGATATGCGTAGTAGGTGACCACGGTTATGGTTGAGACAGGTGTCGAGAATCATCGCCATCGTTGAGACAGATGTAGAGAATCATCATTATCGTTGTCGACGTGGTTGAGCTGGTACACGTCCAAGTGCAAGGAGGTCCCTTGTTGCTGCTTTTGTTCCGCCGCTTCCGGCCGTCTCTGCATCGTTCGGTGTTCTTGAAAACAGAAACGAGAAAAAATCTGCGTCCTTGTCAACTCCCCCCCGCCAGGGAGACAAAAACAGACAGATAGACCCAATTTCTCAACACAAAAAAATTAAGGATGACACTCCGATGGTGCTCCGTTGTACACCATGGGGTACTCGCCTGGCACGCACACGCGATTCGTTTTCCGGTCGGTATTGCCGTAGCTCTTAGATCCCACAAACCCTACGTACGGTGCGGTCTTCTTGCGTCTCTAGCTCAAGAGATTCAGCTTCGTCGTCTAACAGCGGCTCACGTTCCGAGTATGACTTTTTTCTGTCATACTTGTGTTGTCGTGGCCCGTCGGTGAATTGACGCTTGCTTGTCAAAGAGAAAGCAACACCATACGGCACATGAACAATGCCTGAACACGCGTTGGTTGGCGACGTTTGGAATGTACCCCCGCGACTTTGACGGCAGGAGTTCGAGGGCGTGGAGCCGTGCGTTATCTGCTATTCCGTGCTTCACCCGAAGAGCATGGACCTTCCCCAGATGACCTGCAAGACGTGCAACAACAGGTAAGGAGCCATGCCGTCGTCGCCGTTGTCGCTGTCGTTGCTGTTGCCTTTGTGTTTGGTGTAGGAGTGTTGTTTGTTGTTGTTGTTGTTGTTGTTGTTGTTGTTGTTGTTGTCGTCGTTGCTGTTGCCTTTGTGTTTGGTGTAGCACCACGGGAGGAACGCGGCGATTAGACAAGAATCCGTGTTTGGGCCTTCCTCTTATGTAGCACCAGCTCATGCCCCCCAAAACATGCCGGGAGGTCTAGTGTAGACGTCGACGGCAATACTAAATGGTGATGGCTTCTCAAATTGCGGCAACGTCTCCGTGTCCCTGAAGGGTGAGTTGAAATACGCACGCGACCGTTTTGCGCAAAGCCCGCTTTTAACTGCCGCCCCAGCCGTCTTGATCGGTATTTGGGTGTAAGCTCAGCAAAGTGAGCGACCTCGCTATCTCATCGTTTTTCGTGTATTTGTCGCTTCTTCCTCTTGCTAGTTATTCGCGTTCCATGGCATTTCTCTTCTGTGTCGTTTCTAACCCCCGCCCCCGTCTTCTGTCTCTGTCTTCTTTTTTTTGCTTGCTCAGGTTCCACTCCAGCTGTCTATACAAGTGGTTCCACACGAGCCACAAGAACAAATGCCCCATCTGCCAGCAGACGTGGGCGTGAACTGGAACCTTCCTCTCTCCCTGCCCGTGGTACCCACCCGCTGTCCTGTCCTGTCCTGTCTTTTTTCGATCTTATTTTATCGCTTGGTCCCGATGGGGAAAACACACTAAAGGCCAGGATGGATAACCACGTCCGTTGTCATAGAATCAAATCTATAGTCTACGTCAATGTGCGCTTGGCAGTATCGTACCGTGTACGTGAGAAAATCGGGGAGGGGCGGGGGGGGCAAGGAGTACAAGATGCTGTTGTGCTGATGTGGGTTCCTTCTTGATGATTTACGAGTTCGTTCGTGAGAAATACTGTCTTCCTTTTAGGCGAGTTCTAATCCTGGGAGAGATTGAGGACCCACCAAATGTTTCGGGCGATGTCCAGTGTCTGTCTGCACTAAACACACATTACCACGAAGCACCGCAAGCACCCTGCCTGTTGGCCGTCCGCCAGCCGTGTGCGCCGGCACGTTGTGTATTGTGTTGTGCTGCTACTGCTGTACAATGTGTTGTGCCGGAAGTCTCGCCACGATAAGCGCTAGGCTAAAGCTCGCAGCGTTTGAGCTACAATCGATTGGGATGGAAACTTAACAAAGAGAGTAGGTGTGGTCTAGAGCTGGGTGGCCAAGTCTTACTCTACTTAGTGTGGTAGAGCCACCGGAAGACACCTGGCTGACATGACTCTAGACAAAATATAGCCCGCCTTGACATTGTGGTGGAAAAGGCCGTGACTAACTCATGAACACAGAGCAGAATCTAGAGTAGTCTAGTACCAATGGTGGGTGCTCTCAAGATCAAGACTTCTGAAGAGGGGCACACTACTCTGAAAACGATCTGTATCACCGGTATTGGACGGCGGGTAGCTAGAGTAGTTTAATGAGGATGCGGTGGAGCGTAAGCTATGTAGCGTGCGTACCGTGGATGGATGTAAGAAGGAATTTTTATGGTCCGATTCGTCCGTTCATTGGTGCATTGTCTCCAGTCTTGCCCTCGTTCTGAAGACCCAACTGTGCAGTTGGAGTTGTTTTGGTTTGTGATGAGGGTTGGGTGGGTGTGTCTTCTTCTCTTGTGCTGTGCTGTAGTGCTGCTCGCGTGTTGTATTCTTTCGTTGCGGGAGGTATTTGGGTGAGCTTCAACCGACGTGATATTATTCGTCATCATCACCTCGTGCGGCCGTGGTGTGGTCTAGTGTGAGGTGGTTCGTCTTTTCGCAAAGACGCAAAAACTCGCAGAAATACAGTACTTACGTAGTTTCGAAGTTTCGGTTTCGGCCAACCAATGAACGGAAAAAGCTCGCTCGGTAGTCTAAGAGTCCACCAAGATTACGGCGTTGTTTCTTCCGCCTTGGTCTGGTTTGAGAGTTTGGACGAGGCCACCAGTCTCACAGCGTACACTGTCTGTCGCTCCTTCGTACCCAACCACATGGGGGAGAAATCGAGAAATCAACCACAGACGACTGACGAAGAATGGAAAGGCTAGCACCAGCATGATGCAATCGTTTGCCCAAGGACACATGGATGTTGTGATATCGTGCGCGAGCCGTCGTCCACGGCTCGTGGTTGTGGTGGTGCTACACTACTCCCGGGACTGCTGTTTATACGGGAGTGCGACACGTCTCACGTGCGGAGCCAGATATTGGCCGTTTTTGCAATGTATCGTGTTCGGCACGCCCTTCGTCCCGTCTGGTAGCGGCCGAAACATCACGCCACACACCACTGCATAGGTAGATGGTAAGGCAATGACGCTGATGCGGGAAAACCAATGCCTTCATGCCTCCGCTTCGACACGAAACGACACAAAAAAAGCCGCAGTGAACCCTCTTCGGTGAAGGAATGTTGGAATTAAACGAGTCACGCTCGACTCTCGAGCCCGTACAAGCGCTGCCGCAGTCAACAATCTACCACAACCGTCCCCCTGAACCAACCCACGACAGAAAAACCGACCTCAAACCCAAACGGCAGAAGCCAGCCACTCTGCTTTAGAGGCAGGCACTCCCAGAGGAAATTTTGGCAAAAAGGAAGGGAAACAAGACTCCCGCAAAAACGGGGGATGGGGGGACAATAAAACCGTTTTCAACCCCCCCTTTTTTTCCCGGCCCAGACCCCCCCCATTCCGAAAAAACGGGGAAAAAATAGGGAAAAGCCCCAGGGCCCCCCCCCCCCCCCGTGATGCTCATCTCCTACGAACGCCCCGCACGATTAAGGCTGTAGGGCATACGTCTGCCGCCCTTCGGCGGACAGTCGGAAAGCAACAGAGCGAGAGAGATAACTTATTCCTCCGCCTTAACTCGCTTGGAACCGTTGTACTTCTTGGCGAATTTCTGCACGGAGGGCGCGGTACAAACAAGGCAATCCGGAAGGAACAAACGGGGGCAACACCGGGCGGGAGGGGGATGATGAGCATTCATGGCAACACGTGTCAAAGAGAGCAGTTACGTGTGTATGGTAATTTTCGTGTCTTGATGACATAACCTTCCGGACTGCGAGGCATGAAGAGATGTCCCGGTTCCCGTTGCGGAATGTAGCCACGCAAAATTCGCAAACTGTTGCTTTCGTGTGGTGATATAACCCTGGGCCGTAGCTCCTCAAGAGAGAAGGAAACGCCGTGACGGTATGGCACGGTGTGCTATGGCAGAAGCGGCGAGCGACAGGAGCAGACATAAATGAAAAGCCCCAGAAGACAGACACACCAAAACCTGAACGACGGCGGCGTTCCCAACTGACTTGCATTGAACGTTTCTTGGCGTGGAAAAAGTCATGCATTTACATGAATCATGTCTGCAAACCTGTTTACCCCCATGCCATCGAAGAGGGACCACGCAGAATAAATGTATTACACCACCCGATGTCGCTCGCTTGGATGTGGTCTGCTTCTATTTCAGGACTTGTGCCTGCAAGGATCCCCGAGCGCTTAGCCCGATAAAACAGACCCCCCACCACCACCACTTCGCGGTGCCCTCTCTGACCAAGGGTTCCTTGTGGCCACGTTAGTACATAGGCTTCCTGCAATTGTGCCGCCAAATTCCCAAAAGTGGCTTTAGAGGGGGGGTTCTGGCTGATTCCCAGTCTATCATCAAGACACGTTTGCCCCTAGGTTCTCGCTGTGGTGAGCCCATCAACCTAGCACCGCCCGCGGACGCGCAGACGACATAACGTAGTTCCAGCGGCAGGGTCGGGTCAAGTGCAAACTGGCCCTGACGAGGGAAGAGCAAGTCGCGGTTCTTTAGCATCGTGACCAACGGAGGGCACCAGCAGCAACCGCAGCTGGAGGCTGTGGCCCATGTGGCGCCGGCGATGACTGAAGGGCCAAGGACCGTGTTATGACGTTTGCGCGTCCGCGGGTGGTGCTAGGTTGATGGGCTCACCACAGCGAGAACCTAGGGGCAAATGTGTCTTGATCATAGACTGGGAATCAGCCAGAACCCCCCCCTCTAAAGCCACTTTTGGGAATTTGGCGGCACATTTGCAGGAAGCCTATACCACCGCAGCAGTAGCGCTACATAAGATTTCTTACCGACATTCAAAAGAAAACGGATTCTTGTCCACTCATACTTGCCGACACACTGTTCGGGCATTGATCTCTGTCACACACAGCACATCTAGCGGCTGGCATCGATCGCTCGTCAAATCTCGCACCGCCAGCGCGCTCGACACAAATATATCAGATTTAGCCAAGATGAGAAAGGGGAAATATCGATCGAATGGCCGGAGAGGCGACAACACGTAGTTGGAGTTGGGATTTTTCGTCTAAGGGTGTCGAGTGGTGCCAGTTTGTTCACTACCCTGTCCTGCCACCTCTCTCATCATCATGCCTGCCTACATGGTCAGAGGGGATGCAAATACGCACTAGTAGTGCCGAGGAATTATTTCCGCCGCATTCCCGGGTGGAAACCCGCGACACAACGAGTTTTGTTTCGTCCAGCGTTGCTGTGTGATACGCATAAGAAAAACGTCTTTTCGACAAGCGCGGCCGATGCCAGTTCAACACAGACGCATATGCATACGTTGTCTTTCCACCCGCATTTCTCGGCACAGATGGCGCACGATGGGGGGATCACAAACCTTACCTGGTTACGGAGGAACTTGGGGTCCATCTTCAACACGGCCAAAAGCGGGTATTCACCAAGCAGTAGTCACCGACACCAACACCACGACAATCGTCCCCATCCGAAGAAGAGCAGGCAGGGAGGGGGCCCATCGCGGTCGTGCAGCATGAAACCGTCACGTCGCCGTCCGCCGCAAAATCCATTTCCGATCAAAATTCAATCACCAGCAGGATAGGAAGGACGCGAGGGAGGCCAAGGATGGGCCAACAACGTAAAAGTCGGTGCCGTTAGTGGCGGTAGAGAGAGTGAGAGAAAGTCGCAAACTCACGAACGCCTTGGTCAACCAGAGAGTGTATTCGACCGCCACCATCACCATCGCGTAGTGTAGTGTGCCACGCATGAGCTGACGCAGAAGATACCCCATGTGTGCATGCAACAAAACAAAACGCCCTTCCGACAATCCCGGCTACACGCTGTTGCAATCTCCCTTCAGGATTTTTACGACGTCAGGCATCATCGATCATGTCCATCGTTTCCCACGTGACCCCCCTAAAAACCGGGGTGTCAACGACGGACCTGAGCAAGGCACTAAGCTACGTGAGTGCGGTAAAATAGCGTGGTCTCGCTTACCCCCTTCATGCTCTTGTACTTGTGGTTCGGCGCCTTCTTGATGCCGTTGACGTGGTCCTTGAAGGTGGCGTTGCGCCCGGTGTGGTGCTTTTGCTGCTCAACGAGAGAGGGTATGCAGACAGGCAGAGAGTTAATCCCCGCACAGAGTAACAAACACGTTGCCAACAGAGTCAGCCCCTCCATTGGCCAAGCATCCACCAATAATAACATCACAACAGCAGTGATTTTCACTACGCACATGTTTTACACAGACAAGTGGCTTTCGTGCTGGTCAACCCGTAGCGATCGTAGCCTTTAAGAGACGAAATGGCCGCATACCCAAAACCCACGGTTCCCGCTGGTGTTGCTGATCCAGCAGCCTTGAACAAAAAGGTCCTCAGTCTAGCACTCGGTACCTATGAGCACATCTTCTCCGCAGGAGACATTTTGCATGGGAAGGTCTTGTTTCGCTAAGGCGAGGTTTACGCAAAAATCCAGCACCGCTTCTCTAGATGAACATCGTTGTCGTGCCAGCCACAAATCCCGATGTCGTTCCAAACACGCTTCCCAACGCGGGGCATGGAACTCCTCCCACAGCATCAGCATTGCCTACAACAAGCTTTGCGTTCGGATGCTTATAACAACGCCACCAACAGTAGTAGCGGGCCCATGACTTTTGCAGTAGAGGAGCGCAAGTACTTCTCGTTGATGGCGTGGTCATGGGAAAACTGCTCAATACATTATCTTGCATCCCACGTCAACAGCCCATTGCGGTGTCGACCCTCTACTGGTCAACGGGCCACTTCCCAAAAAAGGATTATGCCCACGATGGAGCTGTGTGCCTCACGCAGGTCGGGTCACCTCGCACGACAACCTCGACGCGGCCTGTCATTGGTGCAACGAAACCTTGGCGACCTGCCACACCTCCAATGGAAAAAAACTCCACACCGCTCTGTTGGCACACCGCTAATTACGGTGTGCCAACATAGCGGTGTGGAGCTTTTTGTCCTTGGAGGTGTCGCAAGTCGCCGGCGTTTCGTTGGGAAGGCGCGTCGAGGTTGTCGCGCGAGGTGACCTGCGCTAAGCACGCAGCTCCATCGGCCTTGGCATATCCTTTTTTGGGAAGTGGCCAGTTGACAAGTAGAGGGTCGACACTGCAACGGGCTGTTGACATGGGATGCAAGAGCAAGCAGAAGTAGATCATAGAGGCTTGAAGGGTGGACTACGGAATTCATCTACAGCAGCCGTCAACGATTGACAATGCCGGGCTTGGCACTGCTGGTGTGAAAGCCTGGCAATCACAAATGGAATGTCCAATGGTGGTTCCCGTCTTGTTGGAAAGGGTTAGCCCGAGAGCGTCACTGCTTCCAATGACAGCAACAGTAGTACTTCTTCGTTGTCAATGCAAGTACATGAGAAGTATTGCTTGTGCCCGAACGGAGCAAGGCGTAGCAGAAGCGGTCTAATCTTGAGACAAACATCGTGTGCTGTGGGTAGGAGCTGCAGATGCATCTGTGAGATTTCAGCGCACCTTTCTTGCCTAAGTATGCACGAGTCGGCGTCGGCGTAAGATCAACAGAGTAGGCTGATCTGACTGGCACGCATGGATAACACCACTAGGAGAAGCTGGGCAAACCATAGGTCGACAACACGGCAAGTTCACTGCTGGTGTTGTGAAACACCTGGTGTTGGCCTCGTCTCGCCTCTCGTCCACTCAACACCAGATGGACGAAGATGCAAATTGCTGTATCCAAGCTGCCTAAGGCCTAGGCTTTGAACCAAACATGCATCAGGCAGGAGTGTATTACCCATTGCCGATGGGAACCAAGCATGCAGAGGCACACACTTGCTCTCTGGATGAGAAAGGCTAGCAAAGCGTAGGGCGGTGGGACAAGCAGGCCGCTCTGAGCGAGCAAATCGCATCCGCACAAAGTCACATCCAGCAAACCGCGAAAAAAGAGTGAAGGGCACTTTGTTCAAGTCTACGAACTCGCACACTGCATCCTCGCACCTTAACCATCCTTGAGCTTTGGGGGGCGGATTTGAAGGGGCTTCCTTGGGTCCGGTGACCACCAACCGCGCCAGAGAGCACCACAGCGGCTAGGCCCCCGACCACCATTAATCATGGGGGGGGTGCATACATTCTCCGAAACCCCTTCGGAGATTGCGGAGATTCTACGTGCCGATTCCCAGCTTCCAACACAACACAGCGGAGATCCCGCATGCTCAAACCTCCAGTCTCTCTGCTCTCTGTACCTCCCACATCCCACATAAATCATCCTGCTGTCAATGTACTCCAGTGATTTATACTATGGATGCTGCTACCGAAGGCCTTGCAATGGATCTGAAAGGTGTCTCGCTGGAAGATGATGCTTCGCAAGTGCGGCGAGATGACGAGAGCACCCATCTCGAGAGCACTGTTGCTGCTGTTCGTTGCGAACGGAGGGAACCCTTTGCCATGGGATTGGTGGACATGGCTGGAGAGGTTCTCCGGTGAGTTGAAGAAGCACGTGCTCTGCTTCTTTGTCTCATCTCACCTAGCTGTACATCAGTACACCGCGCCCTCTCTAACATCAACATGGCGACTGCTACATGTAGAGTAGTCCCGGTGTAATGCCGGTGCGATCCAGCCGATCTCACCGGCATTTAGCAGGCAACCGGCATTCTTCAGAGTATTTTTTTTTTTTTTCTTCACATTAAACTCGTGTCAGTTGCTAATCCCAAAATCTAGCAAAGACTCGGCCCGTGGTCACAAAAATGCTAAAGCCATCAGAAGATCTAAAGAACACGCACACTATTAGCAAGAAAAGGGTACACAAGCCCGAGGAGGTACACCTACAATCCCTGCAGCACGTTTGCGTGCTCACAACTGAACTACACGCCCACACACTACAATTCGACTACAGCAGGCGGCATCACCCCCCTTGTCCCGCACTTACTTCACCAAAATGGATGTTTGTCGACTACAGCGTACTGCTGTCTGAAGTGCTGTCTGTACAAAATAACACCATGGTGTATGGTGCACAACAAGCTCGGGGCATGCAGCTGCTGTCTGACGTGCTGTCAGAATGGTCCCGTGGACATACAATGAAGAAGAACAACCAACCAAAGCCATCATTGCAATTGACAATTGCCCGAATCTATCCAGATCATCTGTGTTAGACACAGAAGTGTAAACATCGGCACTGACTAGGAATCGTTCCACATTGAAGGGGTCTTCCACGATGCAGGTACACAATTAAGGCACCCGGGTTATCCGCGCCATCTCTGCCGCGTCTCTCTACAAAACCAGTGACGTCATTACACACACCTAACACCTATATTCAGGAAAAAAAACGGAAAATAATTGACAACACAAGAGATGTTTGTCCGTGCGACACGGTTCGATGCCGTCCGCATGCTCCGGTTCCGCTGCTGCTCCGGTGCCGCTGCTCCGGTGCCGCTTCTCCGGTGTCGCTGTGGCCAGTCCTAGCACGACCAAATTCGACCCGCTCCGCTTCGTACACGCTCTCGTTGCTGTCCTTCCCAGTCGGTTCCTCGCTTTCTCCCTCGTTGCACTTAGGTTCTTGGTCTGAAAATTCTCGCGCCGAAGGGTCAACCAGCCCAGTCAGCTCGTCACCACCTGTCCCCTCCTCATTTGATGGCAAAACCAGGTTACTGAGACAGTACAGCTCCCTCTAGCAAGCATAGGGCCGTGTACATAGTGCCCGTCAACCTTTCTGATGGCGTCTGCCTCCGCGCACAAAGATGAGATGGGCATTGCTGCCTGCACCGACGGCCTCGAGGCCCGCGCATCTGCACCTTTGTACCTGACGCACCAGTGCCGACCCAACTCCACCACTACGCACGCCTTGCGGCGGGTGCGCCGTAGCAAGAAGGTATCGGTCCCTTGAGGGTGAGTCTAGCCCTGCTCGCTAGAAAGACCCCCCCCCTCGCTTTGGGTCATGCCTAAGCAAAACCTTGCCGAGGCAGCGAGGGGAAGAAGGGAGCTGTATGAAACAACTTAAGTATTCCATCTGTGTCAGACGATTTCACCGGCATTATACATGGCAACCGGCACTATTCCGGGACCACTACTGGAGTATGACTGGCATGTAGTTCCCTACAGCAGTGCATAGACATACAACGCGCCCGTGGCATCCGCAGGGTACCTGGGACCGCTCGCCAACGTATACAGTAGCACCCGCCTACTCACATGATGACGATTCTTGCGATAGCATTCACATGCTCAAAGCCCCACAACACGCCACTACGTACATCTTGTGATCAACACACGGTACATGCACGCATACTTCTTCACCCGAAGGGACAGATAACCATAACCAGCAAGGCTCTTTAGGGTTAACCCGTATGGTCATGCAACACGCGGCCCGTCGCCATAGGGATCCCGGTGAGAACCGCCCTTCGTTCCCAAGGACAAGCTAAAAAGACGACAACACTAGCTCCCGGAAACAAAATGTCCTAACCGTTAGCAGCTGGCAGTGTTGTCCACTCGTACGTCTAGCAATCCCTGTGCTCCTCCTACCAATACTGACGCTTAAACGTGATCGGACGCAATAGGAATGTCCTGCGAGCAGCTGTCTTATCTCGGCACGTAGGCCTCCTCTCCTACAAGCACGCAGACATCCTCTTCGCCATATAATACAAATGCCCACTTCTATCAACTCCAATAAAAGCTCATTTCAGACTCCTTCCCCCTTTGGTAGGATCCAACTGTAATACTCGGTTTCCGCCGTAACTTACTGCGCCACGTTCTGTCTACGCTGCTGTCGATGCATCCTCTTGTGTTTTTTGTTGCTTTGGCGATGCACGGGAAAGGTCGGTGACCTGCCTGCTGGAGCAGCACGACATGGTTATCCTCGGGGGCACGTGCCGTTCGCTTCGCCAAATCCAGAGAGGGTTTGCGAGTGGCGAAGAGGCATTTCCTTTGCGGTGAGTTTAGGACTCGAGAGGGAGAGCAGTGGTAGTTTTTACGGTTTGTCAGACCGTAAATCGGCCTCAGGGAGAGAGAAAGAGAGAGCGACAGAGAGCGACAGAGAGCGACAGAGAGAGAGAGAGAGAGAGAGAGAGAGAGAGAGAGAGAGAGAGAGAGAGAGAGAGAGAGAGAGAGAGAGAGAGAGAGAGAGAGAGAGAGGGAGAAGGGCCTCGGCCAGCAGAGTGAGACTGCCAGGGGCGACCAGGTGAGTGGTACATCGCCCAGAACCTTGAACGATGCAACGTAGTCACAGACCATCACGCAGGCGTTATTTTCGATATTGGCAGCCTCGTGCTAGCTCCTGTTGCTGTAGCGCTCCGCTGCTAACATCTTACTGCCACCGCTACAGCTGTTGTATCTGCTGCCCACGCCGACAACACAAGCTGCAACTACTGCAAATATTTTCCACAACGCTGCAACAACGCATCAAACCAGACCCACCGTTGACGAGCGGCATGGGAACGAAGACAACGCCGTCCAAGTGGACACAGAGACCGGTGTCCTGCGAAAGACACCCAGACCGGGCATGGGCACCATCATGGCCAAGGAAAGGGTTGGTAAGACGGACAGATAGACCATCAGCTAGATAGAAACACACGGCAAGGGCGAAGACAGGCACATCACACATCACACCCGTTACTTGTCCAAACGTGTCCGTTTAGACAGCCGGCGGGCCTTGGTACTGATCCCCTACGGCGAATCAGTTTCGAAGAAATCTTCCAGCAAAAGAAATGCTTTGGAAGGCTTGACTTATATGCTGCCTTGTTCCGTACTCTTTGATTGTATGTTTTATCGAGTGGGGCGGATGCAAAGGACAAGCAGTTGGTACCACGGCAAGTCTAGGTACAGGAATAGTGCGTTTTATAACGTCCAAGAAACACATCTGGGAATGCCCACAATGCAAGGATCGACCGTCAGCAAAATTATCGCCACAGAGGGGAAGTTAACTCAATCGAAAAATCGCGCTCTTGCGCTCTTGTGTTCCCCTCACGGCACACGCTCGGTAGACAAGATGACATGCTACTGGGAGGTCAATATACAGGTCTTCACAGGAGTAAGGCTTGAGGTCGGCGTGGCGACACGCCGCAGCATCTACCGAGGAGGGTGCGACAAGGACGAGGTGATTTTCAAGGTCAAGGGGATTCTCTCCTGTGGAGGCAAGGAATCTCTCCCGTGTGAACTCGTCGCTTGGTGCAAAACAGTTTTTTTCTTCTGAGCTATGGATGAGACCGGCTTTGCACGGCTTGCGTTGGACAGCGCCCTCACGTTCGTCTGGTCGGAATCTAAAAAATCTACGAAACTGGTTCCTCCATACGTTGTCAGTACCATCCAAGGCCTACCGGCTGTCTAAACGAAAACCGAGGCAACAGTTGGGCATGTCACGGACTCACACGCGCTGCTTTTGACACACGCTGGCCAAGAGCTAGAGCAACATGATGGCTCGTCCTTGGCGGACAGGAGACCGTCACATCACATTGATCAACGTACCCAGGGGTTGGTGTTCTCAGCTCCAGCAGCTGGTGCTCCTTGTCTCCGCAGCAAGCACACTGTTCGTGTCGCGCTGTGGGCCGACGCCAGGTACACTGAATGAGGGTTGCGTTCCCGCCCGCTCTCGCCCCCGCCTCCCCCACCTCCCGTGTAGCTGATGAAAAATACGATGGTACGTTCTTCTGACTGTTGCAAACATCTATGGTGCCGATGTGGTTGTTGCCTGGCAGTGTTGGGTGATCGATTGCTACGGCCGTGCCTGCCACGGGACTCGCCTGAGGGGCTACGGCTGCAAGCTCAAGGCGGGCGACGTGCTCGGTGTGCTCCTAAACACCGACGATGACTCTCTGTCTTTTTTCGTTGAAGGTATGCATTTGACGATGGTATGTAGCGATGACGACCTGTACACTCTGGTACTTCTCACGTCGTCCACAACAAGCTGCGTGCTCGGTAGGGAAGGCCTAAGTCGTACGCCTCAGGCACCCCTGCCGCGCTGTCTTTCAGCTTTCGTATTACGTCCCCGGTCCCCGGTCAGTGGCATGTTCCGTTAGTAGGGGATTCGACGGTGTTCTTGACGGGGTTTCTCCCTTGGCCATGTCTTAACATCCACGTTTTTACGTTCCTCAATAGCACCACTTGTATTTTGTTTGTGTATGTTTCCGGCGGGGGGTACGTGACGTTCGTTGAGGCGTGTGCATGGGTACGGCATTTAGGAACGTGCGGGCCCCCTCCGGGGTTGGGCTATACCCTCTCGTTGTCCTCCCGAGCGTCGCGCACGAGGAGGTGAGGTTTTTGAGGTGTGCCGAAGGAGGAAGCGCGTCGTTCCCGGCTCCTGTCAGGTGAGAAAGAATTAGTCGAAAAACTTCGACGTAGTTATCTTCAGCTGTATTCATCGATTTTGCAACGTGCTTGGGCGTGGTGTGTACAGTCATGGTCAGCAATTCGCTTTTGCGAAACCCTGAAATAGCGGTCAATGTTGAATCTATGGGCCTACCTACCAATGATTGCTTCTATCAATTGCAGCGGCGGGTCTTTGGTGTGACGGAATGCGTGTGTCACGTGGTGTCGTGATTCAGCGAATCACTTAATTTGTTTGTTTACGTCGGAAGAGCGCACACCTACCGTGTCTGCCTGCTTGCTTTGACAAGCTTGGCGTATTTGTGCTGTGTTTTTCCTTGGTCAAACCAGACCGCTTTTGGCGACGAAGCGAACGTGGCGGGCAAGACCACATCCGAACGACTGGGACATCATCGTCGAGACCTATGACGCCCAGGTGAGAAAAAATGACCGCGAGCACCATGTCTGAGAGACGCACAGTACAGTACTCCTCGGCGCGTTGCTCTACTGTACCTCTCTTGGCCCGAGTTAGCTATCTGGCTGACTTTCGCTTGGTGGTGCTCCGGACACTACGTTGAAGTAGTTACACGAAAAGGTAACCGGTCAGTTAAGAGTGAGCACGGGACAGGGTAGTATACCTTTGACGTGCGATCACGACTCTCCCAGCTACACGTAAGAGAGACCAGAGTCAACTCTGAAACGCATGAGCGCGTTGGCGCATTGTAGATTCTAAAAGGGTAGTAGACGAGTGGCGGACAACGTGATAACTTGTGGATGGATGGGATTCTGTTACAGGTGCCATCGTACCCGTGCGCGTTCGACGGCGAGGTCGCTTATTGTCTCTCGAATTTTGTTGCGCAAACTGTCTAGTTTTTCGCTCGTTCCACCAAGGTTTCGATGTTTGTTGGCTGCTCTTTTGCATGCGAGCGCCGTGAAGGACCGCTCAGCCGTATTATCGAACGCATTCACTGTATCTTTTCTCAACATTTTTCTAGCGTAGAGTGTCTCTCGCTAGAACAAGAAACCTGTATGCATACAGTAGGTTGATTCAATGAGAAAACACGCTCCTTTGCGTAAAAGGCTTGCCGGCGCCCTACATGTCTTCATGTCTGCCTTCCTCTATATCTGTCTTTCTGTCTCCCTATGCCCGCTCTCGGTTGTCTCGTAGGTTATTCACCGCATCCAAGACATGGACCCGGCCTGTACCACCGTCGGCGGTCTGAAGGAAGCGCTCGTCAAGTGAGAATGGCCATGTGTTAGTAGCTGCTGATTCTGCTTGTTCCGTTTGCTTTTGTGCCTCGTTGCTTGACAAATGTGCCCATGTGCGGTGGTCGTTTGTAAGTCTTGTTTGGTTTTGCGTAGTTTGTTTACATGCGTTATTCTGTTTGGTGGTCGTTGCTCGTGTAATTATTTTTCTCTTTTTTTTTCTATGATTGTGGATGAGTTTTCTTGCAAGGGAGGATTCGCGACCATTGGACTTGGGTTTTGGACGCAAACACCGTTCCTAAAGCGCGCCCTATCTTTGCACTTCATCCCCTACCTCCGCTCGCAGGTGTCGCGACCTGGAGTTGTTCACCCCGGGGCAGTTAGCGTTACGCACCCAGGGGGCACTGCTGACCGACGATTCGGCTCTTCTGAGCGCTGAGGGGGTGACTTTTGGGTCTCGAGGGGCTCAGCTGCAGGATGTGTTCCTATACGTGCCGCATCTGATAAGCTAATCGGTTCGTCACAACTACGCAGATCTTTTTCATGCGTGTTCCTCGCTCTGTGTAGCCGCCTACAAGCACAGTACAGACATGACCCCCCGTTCGGTACCTCTTAGTTAAGGTAACGATAGCGCGAGGCTCGCGGCTTGTTTCCTTTGCGATGAATAAACGCATAAACCACAGCGCGCACGGAAGTCTCGGTGTGGGGTACTTCCTCAACTGAGCGCAACGAATTGTGCATAACGTCTTTGAAAGTTCAGTTGGTTTGGCTTCAAGTTCTGGATCAGCTAGATTTCTGCGTGAACTTGTAGAGCAACTACGAGGTAAAAGCCCTCGAGAGCTGACGGGTGTTAAGGAGATCAACAAGCTAGCTGGTTGCTTGGGTGCCAATCAATGCGTTCCGTCAAGCCCGGCTCTAGAGGGCTGCTCTTGTCAATGTATATACATGTGTACACGTCCGAAAGCCTCAGCTGGGAGATAAGGTGCCCGCCACTTAACACCGAACAACATGTCGGGCTACTCTAATGTTGGGGGTAGAGTTGTGCGTCAAAAAAACCGCGGAGCGCACCACCCAATGCTGTTGTTCGGAATGGGGGACTGTTTGGGCAAGCATAGTCCAGGGCCGCGCTTGGTAGCAGAAAGTGGACGTGTCTTGGTGGATACTGATATACGGACGTAGGTGGAAGGTTCCTTCGTTCTTCCGGTGCCGCTTGGGGGCGTTTCCGGCTTTTGGGTTTTTTCTGTGTTTTCGCCGCACATGCCAAGGTCGAAGAAGTCCGTATGGTCTACCACTGTACAAATTTGAAGAAATTTGCGTGCAGTTAGTGTTGGCCAACGCTTGTTGGCGGGGGATCGAGTGCCGAGAGAAGAGTTCCCTCCTCGACACCACTTGTGTAAAAAAAAGGGAGATTGGCAGCGCGCTTGCTGCGGCCAAGGAGCGACAGAAGACATTGCATTCCTCGCTCGGAAAACGAACTTGTACTATACGAAACCCCCGATAATTACTTGATTAACCCGGTCGTTGCCAGATCTCGCTCTTTGCTCGTCGCGTTTACATTGCAGCCATTAATGGTGATTGCGCCAAGGCTCCCCCACAGCATGTTAACCCTTGTTTCGTGTAGACTGCTCACAGAGTTAATGTGATCTGTTCTGGCGTTCTCGATGTTCTCCGCTTAAGACATGTGACCACGCTTGCCAACGCCCGACTCTGCTTAGAGCGATCGCAAAGGTTGCCTGTGCTCTCCTTCTCAGTCCCGGTTTCCCACACAAGTTTCCAGCCTAGGCGTGTTGTTCGAGTCAGCCGTCTCACGAATCACTTTCGCAAAAGAATCTTGTTTCGCCCTAAGGCGACCCCTCTTGTGATACCGTAGACCAACGCATGACCTGGACAACAACACACAGGCGATCTTTGACCAACTCAAGGGAAAAAAAGCCCGTCCTCACCAACCAGGGATAAGGTAACTGATTGACCAACCTTCCACACACCAATGTTGACGATCGACAAAATCTCCAACATGGCGCACTACAGTAGGTGTTATCGTCCTACCCTTCCTCGTTGGCATTTTCGCGTTGTTAACTTCTTAGCTCTACCCAGTGACTTTACTTCAAGATTTTTAACACAAAACGACCGCAACACCCAAGTGAGACAAAACGGATTTGGTGGTATCAGGCGGACACAACAAAGGTCGCACGCGCGTGTGCATCAACAAGGATAACGCAACCAAGGTAAGGAAGGGGGGGGCACCCGCAACAATCGGGATAACGCTCAGTCCGATGTACGGCGGTGCACCGATGGCGCCCGCTTAGCGCAGTGGTCGCACATCCCGTTGCACATGGATGCCTTGTACTCCTCGCCGAAGTACCTCGCCAAGAATTTCCTGTCACGGTCAGAGACGGCCAAACGATAGTCCGCCAGGGACAAGATATAAGGTACAAGCGGGCGGGCGGCGATAGCTTAAACGTTGATCGTATGCGTCGAGGTACATGTTAACCGCCCGCCCCTGCGCTTGACGACTTGGGGAAGCTGAGAAATGCTTCTGCTACGTCTAAGCGAGCCCATATACAGAATTCGGCAGTAAGACGACACAAGAAGAAATCTACCCGGGTCACAACCCCAAATCCGAACCCTTTGTTTTGGAAGCAGCAGTTGGCTGCCTCGATTGAAGAAAACAAGGACATGAGATTCTATTGGTTGTCGGTTATGGGCACCCAACCCCGTTAACCCGGAGAAAAGTACGGGGTGTGGGCGATTATTGGATGCGACAACAAACAGGTTTTACGCATAGCGTTGCTTCCTTGTTCACAAAAGCGGTCTTGCAAGCGGGACAAAGGACGAGTTCAAAACAGCCACGGAGGAGATTGGACGACAAGGTCCAGCCTCCGGATTTAAAATACTCGCGAAAGGAAAGAAGGCTCAACACCGTCACGAAGCAGACGAGAAGAGAACAAACAAGAAAACTGCTGTCTTGATTGGAAACGCAAAAAACGAAAAAGGTTTCCTGAGGGGAATGCACTTACCTCCGGCAGACGCCTTCCTCCAGGCAGTAGTCCTTCATCCTCTCGAGCATGTCCAGCTGCCGAGTCGTGGCGGCGCTCGTTCTTCTCGCGCGTCGCTTGCCGAAACCCATCACCAGGTTCTTCATCTTGCTCACGTCCGGCCTGCGCGCACACGGGCGTACACAACGTTGCACCACGTATTTAGCACGAACATGAGCAACGACGACTACGACAACAGCAGCAGCCGCAAGCCACACCCCGGGGGCGATTTTGTCGAGCTCTGTTGCCCGGTCGCCACGGGAGTGGAAATACCGCTCTTGGCGAGGCATGCATACGTCACCGGTACCGCTCAACGAGATGCTTCCAAATGCTGCCAGTGCTAGAACGGCCTCCTCATTATCGCTGTCAAGACAACCAGCTTTGAGAATCACCCCATTCGTAAGACGTCCAACAACATCGAGAATCGGCTATTAGTTGAGAAGTCCAGCATTGATAACCGGTCGATTGTCACGACACCCAGCCCTGAAAAGCTGCCAAGGGTGTGTGAGTACATCGTCACACCCACGACACTCCAAAGCGAACAAAACAACTCGTCACGGAAACTTGAATGTGACGGAATTTCTCCGTATATATTGTGGCTGCACCCCGTCCGGCCACGCTCCGGCTGACTCAATTGAAACGACTCCAGCCTCGAGCGAAACAAACGCCGTCCATCCCCCAACCACCAGGGTTGGTTGCGATGGAACAGCACAGCAAGGAGGGTCGATCCACGAAACAGCACAGAAAAAACCAAGCCTCATGGTACACACAACACGTACCCGCGGAACAGCATGAGGCATTCCGCCCTTCGCCCATCCCTCCCAGCCCTTCCCGCCTCTTGGTAGTAGCCCTCGACGCTCTTGGCGATCGACATGTGCACCACGTATCTGTTCGTAGGGTTAACGCCAGGAGTATGCAAAGGTCATGTGCTCTCGCGATTGATGCCAGACGGAGAAAAATCGTTTAGTGTTGGGTTAAGGAAGCACGCGGAGGGAAGGATATGCGATGCGCGCGTGTGCGTGCGTGCGTGCATGTTGAGGGATCTGGGCTCAAGATGTCAAGTCAGGAAACACGTCGCATTCCTGGCGCTCTGACGCTCTAATTCTGCCTCAAAGGGGGATGTAGAAAGATAGAGACGTCGGAATATGCGTCGTTCATTTCAAGGAAAACAAAAACAAAGGAATCTACAAGTAGTAGACTGGGGTGATCCAACCATATCTTCGATCGACTGCCGCAAGCGCTGTCCGAGGAGGCAAACATGCCGGTGACGGCACAGAGGCGCGACCAACACCGTGCAGGAGGTCACCGACACCAAAACAACGAGCATAACGACGGCAGAAGGGCTACAACAGAAAGGGCATACCGTGTCTGGAGAGCGGTACAAAAAATATCTACACGTGGAGTTCAGACGGTGCACAAACACTCATGATCAGGCAGATTGACTGTGGCACCCACAACAGATATGGCTCGCATACACGCACACGCAGAGTGTCTGCAGAATATGTCAAAACCAACATCTTCCGGACATGGGGCGCTGCAGCACGTGCATTTCTCTTTCTCTGACTGTCTGGTTCACCTGACGTCCGGCTTGTCGATGCCCATTCCGTAGGCGATCGTGGCGCAGACGACGCTGATTTCTCCCCGTTGCCACGACCCCTGCACGCTCTTCCTCTCAGCAGCTCCTTGACCCGCGTGGTAGTAGTCCGCGGAGATCTTCTTCTTCCGGAGAAAGTCGCTCAACGCCGAAGTTTCCTGAACGAAACGAGAGGGTGCGGCAAGAGGAACACAAAGCATCCGGGAGAGAGAGAACCGTGCGAGTCTTGTGAGAGGCATGCAGAACCGTCCTCTGAAAAGAGCGGAGGTTTCCTGGATGAGGAGGAAAGGGGGGCAGGCGAGAGAGAGGGGGGTGAAAAACAGGGTGCCAGTCCTCGAGAGCGACGTGGGAAGTAATATGTTTGTACCCCGGCCCTCTCTTAGTAGACACAAACTTGTCCAGCGCATTTAATATTGTTGTCTCTAGTGGGGTCGTAGATCGCGATGTACACCGTTCATGACATGCGGCCTCCACCGCTGTCCTCGATTTTGGTCGCCAGAGTGGCGGGAAAGTCATCTTCGATTATCTGTTCGTACACTCTCTCCGGGAACACACCCAAATCCAGAAGCAGCGTAGACCGCTTAAACACGCCTACCCTTTCGTTGCTCATAGATACGATTGCCATGTTGTTAGATTCGTGAAAATCGATCTTTCTTGGTAACCTATGTCGCATCAAGCGCCACGTCAACAAAAGCAACGGCAGTCCCCACAAATCCCTCGGGATGCATGTCTGCTGGCTTAACCGGTGACCCAGGAGCGGCATGCTAGCACCGAGAACCCTCTCCCGCTGCTTGTTGCGTCGTCCTCAACATTCGTGGCATCAGCGCTGTGTACAAAACCTACGACTTTGACACGCACCTTTTGGGTCATGCAGTAGACGATCCCGCACACTTCCCTTCAGACACCAAAACAGACATGAGGGAGCGAGAGAGAGGCGGGCGGCAGCGTATAGGGAGGGGGGAGCATCAAAAGCACCACCGCTTTTCACAGTTGGGTCATACTTCTACAACAGCACAAGGTGTGCACACGTCGGAAAACGGAAAAAAGAGGTTGCCGATAACTTTCCAAACCGCAACGTCCCTTGGTAGTAAACCCGTTTCTGCTTTTGGTAAAGATATCGAGGAAAGTAAAACATATATATATGGATGCGGTATCGATGAGACCCGTCGATGGTACTCATTCTCAGTACCAAGTTGTCGGAAACGCATGACTCGCTGAATATCTATGATATCAGACATGTATATCGGTGACTAGTCTGTGCTGTCGATGCACCATGCACAAAGCCGGCCATGCGGCTACTGGTGGTTGGTTCGTTAGAATGTGCAGCCCCTTGCTGTCGACGGAGCGTAGTGCATACCCACACGGCCTTCTACCGGTACACGCGTAAGTGTGCCTGGTTGGCGAGCATAGGCTAGGTCTTCGCTAATGCGGGAGACCATCACCGACAACGGGAACACCATTGCGCACCGTCCGCCGTTCTTGCTGTTCTGCTTCTTGATGAAGTCGGCGACGTATTCCATCGCGTCGTTGATCTTGTCGGGCTTCTCCTCCACACGGAACACAAGGTTGGTGCGGTTGAAACTCTGAATGAACTTGGTCGGGTTGACCAGCCGCAAGCTCTTGATGACGTCCTCCATCACCTTAAAAAGAACGAACACGCATGGCCATCAACCGCTGACGCAGCCTACTACTGCTGTCCTTGTGGAAAATATTACACTTCCACCGGAAGGGTATGAGTTTTGTAAATGTTGTTTGTTTGTGTACTCGGCAGGATACGGATCTCCGAGATCTCCGAGGGTTACGCAGATAGATGTGACGGGTGTGATGGACTTGACGCGCTGGGCTCTTCTTGCCTTGCCCATGTCTCTCACTCGTTAATTCAACGAACTTGAGTCAATCCTTTGTGCAGAAAATCTCTTGACAAGAGTCCGCGAGCGTGACAACGAAGTACACGCGCCGACACCCCAGACAGAATTACCGCCCAAAAAAACTTCCTGTCGATGCATCGGATCCATGTAGCTATCTTGAGCTATTTCAGAGGCTACCGACACAGCAGTTGGTCGTTATGATGGTGAGTTTTTTTTGGGAGAGCACCCAGGGTTATGCGTACCGCTCGATTTTGGGATAAACGTTCCTCGACAAAGTTACGCCGAATTGTCGTGTTAGGTTGTAGAGTCAGGGGTATTTGGTGGCGGTGGTGGCAAAGATGACATCGATGGCTAGAGAAAATCTCGGGACATCCCTTTTTCTTAGAAGAAATGGTTCAGAACCGGCGTCAAGCCGCTTGCCGGTCTACCGCCTACCTTGCGGTGCTGGCAGTGCTACGGCTTGTGCTTACCGCTGTCGCCATCTTGACAGGGTTAGTGCCAAAAGGTCGTTTGTGTCATGATAGGCTTATGGTAAGGTACAGGTCTTACCGTCGTGGTCGCGGTGGCGGTGAGAGCGATGATGGGCACGTTCGGGAAGGTTTTCTTGAAGTAGCCAAGCTTGGAGTAGTCGGGCCTGAAGTCGTGCCCCCAAGACGACACGCAATGAGCTTCGTCGATCACGAAGCGAGCTAGCATACCCTGGAGAGATTCAACACATGGCGTGCGCGATTGAGGTGGCGGTGGTGGTGTTGGTAGTCTTCCCGGTGGCGGTGGTGTTGATGGTTGCCTGTATCTTTGTCGTTGGTGGCG